CTCTCACTGTATGGACTCTAGCCAGCCATTCCCATCAGGTCTCTCACTGTATGGACTCTAGCCAGCCATTCCCATTAGGTCTCTCACTGTACGGACTCTAGCCAGCCATTCCCATTAGGTCTCTCACTGTACGGACTCTAGCCAGCCATTCCCATTAGGTCTCTCACTGTATGGACTCTAGCCAGCCATTCCCATTAGGTCTCTCACTGTATGGACTCTAGCCAGCCATTCCCATTAGGTCTCTCACTGTATGGACTCTAGCCAGCCATTCCCATTAGGTCTCTCACTGTATGGACTCTAGCCAGCCATTCCCATTAGGTCTCTCACTGTACGGACTCTAGCCAGCCATTCCCATTAGGTCTCTCACTGTATGGACTCTAGCCAGCCATTCCCATCAGGTCTCTCACTGTATGGACTCTAGCCAGCCATTCCCATTAGGTCTCTCACTGTACGGACTCTAGCCAGCCATTCCCATTAGGTCTCTCACTGTACGGACTCTAGCCAGCCATTCCCATTAGGTCTCTCACTGTATGGACTCTAGCCAGCCATTCCCATTAGGTCTCTCACTGTATGGACTCTAGCCAGCCATTCCCATTAGGTCTCTCACTGTATGGACTCTAGCCAGCCATTCCCATTAGGTCTCTCACTGTATGGACTCTAGCCAGCCATTCCCATTAGGTCTCTCACTGTACGGACTCTAGCCAGCCATTCCCATTAGGTCTCTCACTGTATGGACTCTAGCCAGCCATTCCCATTAGGTCTCTCACTGTATGGACTCTAGCCAGCCATTCCCATTAGGTCTCTCACTGTATGGACTCTAGCCAGCCATTCCCATTAGGTCTCTCACTGTACGGACTCTAGCCAGCCATTCCCATTAGGTCTCTCACTGTATGGACTCTAGCCAGCCATTCCCACTAGGTCTCTCACTGTATGGACTCTAGCCAGCCATTCTCATTAGGTATCTCACTGTATGGACTCTAGCCAGCCATTCTCATTAGGTCTCTCACTGTATGGACTCTAGCCAGCCATTCTCATTAGGTCTCTCACTGTACGGACTCTAGCCAGCCATTCCCATTAGGTCTCTGGACCCCATGACTGGTATAGCCATCTCCAGCCTGTAAAGGAGGGAATAAACACTGACAGCTGATTCATATCAGTCAAACAATAATTATGTCAGACGAATAATCAGAATGACATATAAACAATGTCATTTCATAATTCTAATATCTATTTGGCTCTTATGGGGGTATGCCAGGCGTCTCAGCTCAGTGAAGGGGCTGGAGCAGCTTCTCAGAGCTGTATTAATCCTTTCCTATCCTATCCTCCTTTACTCTGCCACAGTAAAGACAACATACAGACGCACATAAAGATCAACGACATAACCCTGCCCAGACCCACCTGTTCTCACTCCTACCCAGACCCACCTGTTCTCACTCCTACCCAGACCCACCTGTTCTCACTCCTACCCAGACCCACCTGTTCTCACTCCTACCCAGACCCACCTGTTCTCACTCCTACCCAGACCCACCTGTTCTCACTCCTACCCAGACCCCTGTTCTCCCTCCTACCCAGACCCCTGTTCTCCCTCCTACCCAGACCCCTGTTCTCCCTCCTACCCAGACCCCTGTTCTCCCTCCTACCCAGACCCCTGTTCTCCCTCCTACCCAGACCCCTGTTCTCACTCCTACCCAGACCCCTGTTCTTCCTCCTACCCAGACCCCTGTTCTCACCCCTACCCAGACCCCTGTTCTCCCTCCTGCCCAGACCCCTGTTCTCCCTCCTACCCAGACCCCTGTTCTCCCTCCTACCCAGACCCCTGTTCTCACTCCTACCCAGACCCCTGTTCTCCCTCCTACCCAGACCCACCTGTTCTCCCTCCTACCCAGACCCCTGTTCTCCCTCCTACGCAGACCCCTGTTCTCCCTCCTACCCAGACCCCTGTTCTCCCTCCTACCCAGACCCCTGTTCTCCCTCCTACCCAGACCCCACCTGTTCTCCCTCCTACCCAGACCCACCTGTTCTCACTCCTACCCAGACCCCTGTTCTTCCTCCTACCCAGACCCCTGTTCTCCCTCCTACCCAGACCCACCTGTTCTCACTCCTACCCAGACCCCTGTTCTCCCTCCTACCCAGACCCCTGTTCTCCCTCCTGCCCAGACCCCTGTTCTCCCTCCTACCCAGACCCCTGTTCTCCCTCCTACCCAGACCCCTGTTCTCACTCCTACCCAGACCCCTGTTCTCCCTCCTACCCAGACCCACCTGTTCTCCCTCCTACCCAGACCCCTGTTCTCCCTCCTACGCAGACCCCTGTTCTCCCTCCTACCCAGACCCCTGTTCTCCCTCCTACCCAGACCCCTGTTCTCCCTCCTACCCAGACCCACCTGTTCTCCCTCCTACCCAGACCCACCTGTTCTCACTCCTACCCAGACCCCTGTTCTTCCTCCTACCCAGACCCCTGTTCTCCCTCCTACCCAGACCCACCTGTTCTCACTCCTACCCAGACCCCTGTTCTCCCTCCTACCCAGACCCCTGTTCTCCCTCCTACCCAGACCCCTGTTCTCCCTCCTACCCAGACCCCTGTTCTCACTCCTACCCAGACCCACCTGTTCTCACTCCTATCTCCAGTGACTGCACTACTCTCCGCCACGTCCTCAAATTGCACCATTTTGTTCCTCTCATTCGCCCACGCTCTTTCAATATTTAGATAATGAAGCGTACGATTTTTCCATTGTCTTAACGATGGAGGATTGGTTGATTTCCAGTTAAGTATAAGTTTTTCAAGACAATTGACAAGAGTATTGTCCAACCCATCGGGTATGTCACTGCACCCTCATATGACATGTCTTGAAATGTGCAGACAGGATTAAAAGTAAATGTACATTGTAATACTTCTGACAGTCACATTTCTAACTCTGCCCATAACTTTTGAACTTTATAGCACTCCCAGAAGGCAAGGACTGAGTCATTGTTAGTTTTACACTTAAGATATGACTCTGCCGTTGCACTATAGAATGTGAATTTTGTCTCGTGTAATAAATTACATACATTAGTTTATATTGGATTAAGTGTACATTTTTCGTTAACTGTACATTTCGTTAGTTATGTTCCAACATTCCTTCCATCTTGTGCCAATATCAGTTATTTTTAAGTCTTGGTTCCAATAGCTAATATTTTTTCTAAGAGGTTGTCAGTTGGATATGCTTCTTTAAGTACCGGTACACTGGCCCAAAAAACGATTTACTTCTCAGCCAGGTGAACAGCCTCCCACGTAGGTGGAACAGCCTCCCACGTAGGTGGAACAGCCTCCCACGTAGGTGGAACAGCCTCCCACGTAGGTGGAACAGCCTCCCACGTAGGTGGAACAGCCTCCCACGTAGGTGGAACAGCCTCCCACGTAGGTGAACAGCCTCCCACGTAGGTGAACAGCCTCCCACGTAGGTGGAACAGCCTCCCACGTAGGTGAACAGCCTCCCACGTAGGTGGAACAGCCTCCCACGTAGGTGGAACAGCCTCCCACGTAGGTGGAACAGCCTCCCACGTAGGTGGAACAGCCTCCCACGTAGGTGGAACAGCCTCCCACGTTTGTCTAAGGTAGTTCTACATTATTTCATATGAGTGAAACCTCTCGCTGCTCCCCTCAGGTCTGGGAGGTCAGATACCCTGGTGGTGTCACTATCTCTGACCTAACCCTCCTCTCTGCCAGCTCAGTATAGCTAGCGCTGATTCATACCAAACACACTGGGTAAATAAACACAGCAGAACCAGAATGGAGTTTGTTGCCTCGTGTCGTTCGACGTGCTGTTTTGTTTTTACTGAAAAGCCTGGTTAGTGACCTAATGCCTAATGTAGAAGACTTCTGCAAAGCCGAAATGTCTGTGTACGCTTTTACATGCAAGTTATTTAGCAGACGCTCTTATCCAGAGCGACTAGCAGGAGCTGTTAGGGTTAAGTGCCTTGCTCAAGGGCACAACGACAGATTGTTCACCTAGACGCCTCAGGGATTCAAACCAGCGACTTTTAGGTTACTGGTCCAACACTCTTAACCGCTAGGCCACATCCCTGATGCAATTCCAAATAATTGTTTAAAATGAAGTAAGCTTTATGCAACATCTTTTTGAGTGAGGACCCATCGCACCTTTTTGCTTATCTGAACTGACAGGTTTTACACACCAACCAAACTTCTGGGAGAGTGCGATGATCCCCTTTTGATTAGCTTCTAAACTGAGCACATGCTGGTATGTACTGAAGGCCCTATGAGCAGCCTGGGCGTGTCCCACATGCTGGTCTGTACTGAAGGCCCTATGAGCAGACTGGGCATGTCCAAAATGGCACCCTTTTCATTATTGGGTCCTAGTCAAACGTACTGCACTACATAGGGAATAGGGTAGCATTTGGATGCGAACTGGACCATTCGTGAGGCAGGCTGAACGCTGACGCACTTCTTTGAACGGCGTAGAATCAACACTTCAGTGGAAAAGTAAGAGATGGAAGAAGGAAACGCCCTTAAACAAATGTCACTTTAGTAATCTGGAAAAAAAGACAGCGAGAAGAGCAAATATGTGGAAAATACGAAGATATGTCATTCCTGGGGGAACCAGCAGTACATCCCTACTTCCTGAGCTTGATTAGAGGGACAAACTGATTTGTTGCATTATGTAATAAATTAAGACTGAGGTTGCATCCTAAATGTTACCGTTTACCGTAGGACTCAAAGGTCAAAGGTTATGCACTCTGTAGAGAATAGGGTGTCATTTGGGACGCCCCCCCAGAGGGACCTGTAGAAGGAGAGTGCTATGTAGGGTGTTACCAAATCAACAGTACTGTGCATCAATAAAGGCTTTATAGTTGGTCAGTTGAAACTGACAGAAACAAGATGGATCCAATACAGACATAGACAGTGATTACCAACCAAACGGAATCCTCTCTAAAACATGGCGACATGTCTGATCTACATTGCCATGGTCACGAGCGTCGCCTGGAGACGGTTTCCAGAGTGGCGTTTTTGTAATTACAGTAGGCAACGTAAACAAAGTTGATGACTAAATAAAACAAATGCATATAAAAAGTATCAATCTAGTTCAAAGACAATAAGGGTAGCACTGGTAGGACATTTTCTGTCTGATGTTATGATGACGACTTCTTTGAACGTTTGAAGAGAGAAATAAACTAAAACAATTTGATAAAACTTCTACTTGTGCACAAAACATGTGTAAAAATAACAGTGACTCATTAGTCGCTTGTCCATGGTAACACCATGGTAACACCATGGTTACACCATGGTTACACGTGATAAGGCTCTGCTTTCACCTATCCAGTTCTTTCAGACAGGTGCACATAGAAAGGGGGCCAAGGAAACGTGGTAGAGGCCAGTGAGGAAGCACCTCCTCTCAGCTGAGTTTGGGTTATTTTGACTGATGGTCATCAAATCTTTTGTGGTGGCCGCGACCCGGTGTGTTGTGACCGCGACCTGGTGTGTTGTGACCGCGACCCGGTGTGTTGTGACCGCGACCCGGTGTGTTGTGACCGCGACCTGGTGTGTTGTGACCGCGACCCGGTGTGTTGTGACCGCGACCCGGTGTGTTGTGACCGCGACCCGGTGTGTTGTGACCGCGACCCGGGGTGCTGTGACCGCGACCCGGTGTGATGCGACCGCGACCTGGTGTGTGTTGGGGGGCACGACCCGGCGTGTCCTTTGACCCCCCTTCCTCAGGTTCCCAGAGGGCGTTCCTGAGGAAGCGAGATGCCGCTGCTTTGTCCAGACGGGCCGCTTTCCTCCTGTCAGTGATCTCCTTCACACGGTTCATGTACGTCCTGATCCTCTCCTAGTCAGGTGACAAGAAAATAAAGCACTTAGAAATAACGTTACGATAAAAATATATATTATGTCACTTAGCAGATACTTATCTACAGTAGGCTACAGCAGACAGAGTACAAAACATTAGCAACACCTTCCTAATATTGAGTTGCACCCCTCAGAACAGCCTCAATTCGTCGGGGGCATGGACTCTACAAGGTGTCGAAAGCGTTCCACAGGGAAGCTGGCCCATGTTTACTCCAATGCTTCCCACAGTTGTGTCAAGTTGGCTAGATGTCCTTTGGGTGGTGGACCATTCTTGATACACACGGGAAACTGTTGAGTGTGAAAAAACCCAGCAGCGTTGCAGTTCTTGACACACTCAAACCGGTGCGCCTGGCACCTACTACCATACCCCGTTCAAAGGCACTTTAATCTTTTGTCTTTCCCATTCACCCTCTGAAAGGCACACATACACAATCCATGTCTCAATTGTCTCAAGGCTTAGAAATCATTATTTAACCCGTCTCCTCCCCTTCATCTACACTGATTTAAGTGGATTTAACAAGTGACATCAATAAGGGATCATAGCTTTCACCTGGATTCACCTGGTCAGTCTGTGACCACGGTTACATGTAAACAATGTGATTATTGTGGATAGTCAGGTTAATATAATAGTTGGTTTAAAATGTTTACATGCTTTGCAAGAAGAACGATTTCCTTAATAATCCTGTTTACATGGACACATCTGAAATCAGGCTACGGATGGGACTTTTGATAAATGCCGGAAACTTCCACACAGTTTTTTTTAAATCGGTGTATGCTTCATCGATTATGACCTGACATGCACAGTGTACAAAATATTAGGAACACCTGCTGTGTCCATGACAGATCAACAGAGTAAGGTGTTTACATGACTAATGCCATACTCGGCCTTCTGCCATAATCAGTTTAATATTGAATTATTAGTGTGCATGGAAACATGCTCTGTCATGGAAAGAGCAGGTGTTCCTAATGTTTTGTACACTCAGTTGTATGCAGGTTATGGAAGTTGCCAATTGACTGAACAAAATACAGTGGGACGAGTAGAATTGTCTTCGGGGTTAAAAAAAATGGAATATCTTACCAACTCTTGTTTGATTGCATGTTCTTTGGGGTTTATTCCTTGTGTGACCAAGTACACTGTAAACAACAAAACGAGAATGAGTGCGTTGTGGTGACAGTCGTTTCATCATCTTCACACACAAAACAATGTGCTGACTGAATATAATTTTACAATATTAACCTGGATTTGCGTGCAGGAAAATAAAGCACACTTACTCCAGAAAAGAGAGTTGAGGCTATATGCAGACATCAGGTCCAGCTTGGCTTGTTCCAGAGGATCCAGCTATTAAGTAAGCAAAAGACACATTGAGAGGGTTAGTTTTAGCTTGGCCCAGTTCGACAGGTAGGCAGAGTTTGCACCAGGTTAAACGTGATTTGCATTCGTTTTGTAACCAGGCTGCCCCCCGGGTGTGAGCTGGGAGCACCGCTCAAGCCGGTGGTGAAATCAGCTCAAAACTAGCCTATTGTCAAGCAGTAATGACTTAGTATTACATGTTTTCACATGAACAAGTGTTTGATGGAAAACTATACTGAACAAAAATATAAACGCAACATGCAACAATTTCAACGATTTTACTGGGTTACAGTTCAAATAAGGAAATCAGACAATTTAAATAAATTCATTAGACCCTAATCTATGGATTTCACATGACTGGGCAGGGGCACCCACTGGGGAGCCAGGACCAGCCAATCAGAATGTGTTTTTCCCCACAAAAGGGCTTTATTACAGACAGAAATACTCCTCAGTTTCATCAACTGTCTGGGTGGCTGGTCTCAGAGGATTCCACAGGTGAAGAAGCCGGATGTGGAGGTCCTGGGCTGGCGTGGTTACACGTGGCCTGTGGTTGAGAGGCCAGTTGGACATACTGCCAAATTCTCTAAAACAACGTTGGAGGCAGCTTAAGGTAGAGAAATGAACATTCAATTCTCTGGCAAAAGCTCTGGTGGACATTCCTGCATGCCAATTGCACGCTCCCTGAAAACTTGAGACATCTGTGGCATTGTGTTGTGTGACAAAACTGCACATTTTAGAGTGGCCTTTTATTGTCCCCTAACACAAGGTGCACCTGTGTAATGATCATGCTGTTTAATCAGCTTCTTGATATGCCACACCTGTCAGGTGGATGGATTATCTTGGCAAAGGATAAATGCTCACTAACAGGGATGTAAACACATTTGTGCACAATATTGGAGCTAAATAAGCTTTTTGTGCGTATGGAATATTTCATTAATGAGTTTGAGCCAATCAGTTGTGTTGTGACAAGGTAGGGGGGTATACAGAAGATAGCCCTATTTGGTAAGTCCATATTATGGAAAGAACAGCTCAAATAAGCAAAGAGAAACGACAGTCCATCATTACTTTAAAGCATGAAGGTCAGTCAATACGGAACATTTCAAGAACTTTGAAAGTTTCTTCAAGTGCAGTCGCAAAAACCATCAAGCGCTATGATGAAACTGTCTCTCATGAGGACCGCCAAGGGAATGGAAGACCCAGAGTTACCTCTGCTGCAGAGGATAAGTTCATTAGAGTTACCAGCCTCAGAAATTGCTACCCAAATAAATGCTTCACAAAGTTCATGTCACATCTCAACATTAACTGTTCAGAGGGGCCTGTGTGAATCAGGCCTTCATGGTCGAATTACTGCAAAGAAACCACTACTAAAGGACACCAATAAGAAGAAAAGACTTGCTTGGGCCAAGAAACACGAGCAATGGACATTAGACCGGTGGAAATGTGTCCTTTGGTCTGGAGTCTAAATTGGAGATTTTTGGTTCCAACCGCCGTGTCTTTGTGAGACGCGGTGTGGGTAAACGGTTGATCTCTGCATGTGTAGTTCCCTCCGTAAAGCATGGAAGAGGAGGTGTTATGGTGTGGGGGTGCTTTACTGGTGACACTGTGATTTATTTAGAATTCAAGTCACACTTAACCACAGCATTCTGCAGCGATACGCCATCCCATCTGGTTTGGGCTTAGTGGGACTATCATTTGTTTTTCAACAGGACAATGACCCAACACACCTCCAGGCTGTGTAAGAGCTATTTGACCAAGAAGGAGTGATGGAGTGCTGCATCAGATGACCTGGCCTCCACAATCCCCCGACCTCAACCCAATTGAGATGGTTTGGGATGAGTCGAACGGCAGAGTGAAGGAAAAGCAGTGCTAAGCATATGTGGGAACTCCTTCAAGACTGTTGGAAAAGCACCCCAGGTGAAGCTGGTTGAGAGAATGCCAAGAGTGTGGAAAGCTGTCATCAAGGCAAAGGGTGGCTATTTAACAGTTTTTTGGTTACTACATGATTCCATATGTGTTATTTCATAGTTTTGATGTCTTCACTATTATTCTACAATGTAGAAAATAGTACAAATAAAGAAAAACCCTTGAATGAGTAGGTGTGCCCAAACTTTTGAATGGTACTGTATATTTCATAGAAAATACACGTTGTAGCCTGTTTCTGAAGCATGCATCACGCTGCCTTGTTGACAATATGACCCGGAGCCGTAGATTTAAGCAGGGCGCTCTGTGCACCCCATTTCAGGAGTGTAATTAAACCTCTTAAGTGGTGAGGGTCTAACAGCAGAGGCCTAAATATTGCTTCTGTTCATTTGAATATGTGACCGACTCAGAGTGACATTCCCAATAATCAGGGGTGTATTCATTACGCCGATACTGTTGCAAAACATTTGTCGTCTGTTGCAAAATGTTTTGCGACAGAAACCGTTTACTACAAATGGAAAAGGTTTTGCAACGAAAACTAGAGTTTCTATTGGACAAATTCAGCTAGGTCTCTCCCCGTTTCGTTCCGTTTTCTCTGTTTGGTTCCGTTTGGTTCTTAAACAGTAAACGGCTGAATACACCGCTGGACTTCAGATAACACTCAATACCAAGTCATTCTACCCTGTCTGTCTGAAAACATACTTTTTGCACCAGCTCATTTCTTGGCATGGATAGGATGGTCTGCACCATGTTGTTGACAGCACCGACTGATGACTCAAACCCTGTGAGCTGCTCCTCAATCTCAGTAGGGTAGTCTTCCACAGGGATGTCCTCTGCCATGTTGTCTGGGGAGATTGAGAAAGACAATTAACATTAGTTAGATAGATAGACATAGTACATTTGACATTTTATTCATTTAGCTAGCAGAAACTCTTATCCAGAGGGACTTACAGTAGTGAGTGTACTGTAGACACTAGACAAGCTAGCTAGCTAGCTACTAACGATACCATGGGTCGTTTCACCTCAAAAAGCACAAGAAAGAGGATTTCGACATCCACCATCTCAGATTGTTCTGAAATCATTTTGGTTGTTAGAAACAGATAAGATTAGCATTCCTGCAACATTATTTTGTTTAAATATAATTTGATTGCATCCAAATTGGCCATTTTAATTTATAGGATTCATATAATACTCAATAAATATAGTACCCAACATCCGATTTTGACAAAAAAATAAAAATCTAACAATGAGTTAGACATGAGGAATCCAAAGGAATGGTCAAAAGCCACCCACGGACCCCAGACACCCCGCCCCAAAAACGAGTATATAGTATCGGTTCTCTGTGTCTGACAAGTAGTATGGAGCTGCGGCTCGGAGTATTGTTTCTTCATCGTAATGTATTACCAGTGATTTTGGTGGGTTTTCTTTCCTCTGTTCAGATAAATTAGTCATCGAAGTTGTTAGGTTTATGTCCCATCCGACAACCTGATATTACCAGATTCTGACCACTAGATGGTGCTGTTCCTGCTATTGTGAAAAAGTTTGACCCCCCCTCCCCCTCAATGTTAAAGGGATAGTTCACCCAAATTACAAAATTATATTGGTTTCCTTACCCTGTAAGTAGTCTATTGACAATGTATTACAGCAACCCATGCTTTAGTTTTGTTAGCCACTGTTTTAAATGCTAACTTTTAAGCATGTGTGGGACAAATCTAATGCATCAATGGTACCTATATTAGCATTTTCGCGCTTAATGTTCAAATCATCCTAAAGTATCTACAAATTAATTGTCTAACTCAATGAGGTCCAAATTGGATGTAAGGTACTGTAACGACCCTGGGTTTATAAGTGCGGATATCGACGCTGCCACACGAGCATGCTTTTGGGGCACAGTCGATGGCGCGCTGGACTTCAGGCTATAAGATTGAGGGATGAAGACCTGCTCCCTGCCTGTTTCATTACATTGGTGTCGATCACTTCTGACACCAATGTAATGAAACAGGCAGGGAGCGCGCCATCGACTGTGCCCCAAAAGCATATCCGCACTTATAAACCCAGGGTCGTTACAGTATTATTTTTAGTGAATATTACATGAATCGTATACATTAAAAATTGCCAATTTGGGTGCAATGAATTAACTAATTTCTCAGAGATCAGATCAAATTATATTTCAACAAAATGTTCCAGGAATGCTAATCTTATCATTTTCTAACTACAGAAACGATTTCAGAACAATCTGAGATGGTGGGTGTCATGGTTTGCTAGAACGACCCCCCATGACAACTGAACTGCAACATTTCAGCCAGGGAATGCAGACAGAGGCGCTGCAAAGGGGCATAAGGCTGTGTCATGGTTGACAAGAAACTGCCATGTGGTGATTTGATTTGTAGCTAAGTGGCTCGTTTCAGCTAGTTTGGTCTTGTTCTTGATACCATGTCTTGTTTTTAGGTGTTTTGACGGATGTCACGTCTATGCTAATATGGCTCAAATTTGTTAGCTAACCAACAACTATAACAATGTATTTGAGAGACAAATGCTCAGATTTTGCAACTTTATGTTTTCAATAAACATTGGAGACGTAACATACTTTACATGTTAACAATCTAAACATTTAATTACATTTCAGTCATTTAGCAGACACTCTTATCCAGAGCGACTTACAGTTAGTGAGTGCATAATTTTTTTTACTATGACATGTAATGTCTGTTTTGCATGCGTCGGTTTTGTTGCTAAACAACCAACCCATCTATACCACCAGCTTTGATGTAGCTAAGACCGAGGAAGAGGCGAAGCAATATCATTGAACATTTGGCTAAGATAGCCATGCATGATGCTAGCTAGCTTATTGCTGGCTAGCTAACTAGCGTTCAATCAAGGATTTTGAACAGCTACGGCTCAGCGAAAACACTTTATTCCTGTCAATGACAAAGCCCATCGTAACACTCCGTTAACTACTCATTGTTGAATAGTTTGTCTATTATTTTAGCTAGTTACAGCAATAATGTGAAGTTAGCTACCTGTTTCTCCACACGTTGTCGTCCAACCGGAAACACACCAGCGGCAACACTCTCTTCTTCTATGTTTTGTATTTCGCCCAGCGACACTGATGCTCAATATCGCCCTCTACTGTGTTGGATTTCAGAAAACATAATTTACATTCAAGCGCATATTATGACGGGCTGTCTTGGCTATTTTAACAGTAAAGTTAAGAGAATGTGATTCATTTGGCAATGGCATAATAAACAGGACTGTTATCATAGCGCTGCACAGAGAGCACATTGATTGTTTCCAACATAGTGAGTGTCGGAGGAAACGCTGTAAAATATTCTACACTGTGTACATAAACCATCATTTTTTCTTCGTGCTCTTGCAAATCAATGCATTTTTACTTTTCAGCGGTGTGGTGATGGTTCAAAGTCCATCAAACTAAATGAAGGATTGATGTGGTTGAGATAGATGTGGTAGCAGAGTATGGCACTTCAAGAAATATTGTATGTTCAACTACAACCTACATTTTCTGCAAACATCTATGATTACCTACTCAAGTGAGAGGAGGATATCCATAACCTTAAGAAAAATGGAAACTAAAGTACTATTCTATTCTAATGACTTATTCTATGACATGTAATGTGCAGTTTTTTTAAAACCTCATTTAGGCACAGTTTCTTTCTACTGTAACTCGGTGACTGTAATGCCCAAGGTTCCTGATAAAAACATGAACGTTTCAGTGAATGGAGAAAATGATTCCCAACCTTGCCCATTGAATGTTGGAGAATGAACGCTTCAGTGAATGGAGAAAGTGATTTTCAACCTTCCCCATTGAATGTTGGAGAATGAACGCTTCAGTGAATGGAGAAAGAGATTCCCAACCTTCCCCATTGAATGTTGGAGAAACTGTCGTCAGTATCAAGGTTTTATCAGCAGATGGAAGCAATTCTCGTGTAAGATGATTACACATAGACTGCTACAGTATCGGCAACATTTGTATGGAAACTTTTGGTAAATCTTTGTACTTTAGATAATGATACATCAACTATTCATTGAAGCCTAATGGATTAAAGAGTGTATTTTTTCAAAACCTCTTCCAGATGTACAATGTGCTGGTCACATGAGAGCAGATTCCCATGGCTGTGGCTTTCAGTGACGTGAAAGAGCAGGTCTAGTATGAATGTCCCATTCACTCTGACAGCCCTCTACAGACCCATCTCCATCAACCAGAGGTAAAGTTACTATAGCACCGGGGGTATTCTAATCTTACCCTGGAGGTTCCGGAGCCTTCTGGTCTTCTGTTCTACCTGATTTCATAATTGCACCCATCTGGTGTCCCAGGTCTAAACCAGTCTCTGATTAGAAGGGGAGAAGAAGAAGAGAAAAACGGTGGAACTTCCAGGTCCAGATTTTAATTTGAGGTTCCTATACCGTATATGTGTTACCAACCAGGTTTCGAACCCAGGTCTCCTACTACGTGCCTTAGACTATGTTAGCCCACTGAGCTAAAGCCTGGGCATTAGTCTTCAGGGCCCATAGTCACATAGAATCTCAGAATAGGAGTGCTGATCTAGGATCAGGGTCCTCCCTGTTCATATGATTCATTACGATCTAAAAAGCTAAACTTATCCTAGATCAGCACTCCTACTCTGATACACTTTATGAATTTGGGCCCTGCTCTCGGGTTATTTATCAATATGCACTGATTCTTTCTCATCATTTGAGACTCTGACACTGTTTTCTGCAGTGATCTAAAGCACCTGTTCTCAGCCCCCCTACATTGACATGCTGGCTAGAAGGTCAAAGGTCGACCTGCTAAACTCGTGTCCTCTGGGAGACAGCAGGAAGGTTCTCAAACTGTCCACTTAGGAAGCAACACTGATTGACAATACATTTCACATGCTGTTGTGCAAATGGAATAGACAACAGGTGGAAATTATAGGCAAATAGCAAGACACCCCCAATAAAGGAATGGTTCTGAAGGTGGTGACCACAGACCCCTTCTCAGATAAATCCTATGCTTCCTGGCTGATGTTTTGGTCACTTTTGAATGCTGGCGGTGCTTTCACTCTAGTGGTAGCATGAGACGGTCTACAAACCACACAAGTGGCTCAGGTAGTGCAGCTCATCCAGGATGGCACCTCAATGTGAGCTGTGGCAAGAAGGTTTGCTGTGTCTGTCAGCGTAGTGTCCAGAGCATGGAGGCGCTACCAGGAGACAGGCCAGTACATCAGGAGACGTGGAGGAGGCCGTAGGACAAAAGGGGGTGCAACTCAATATTAAGGTGTTTTTAATGTTTTGTACACTGTGTACATGAAGAGGCTAGTTAGAATTAGCATAGCTGATTAGCCTTGCCTATTGAAAAATACATTAAGAGAGGCTAGTTAGCGTCAGCGTCAAGGGCCTATCCTGACATGATGCATGGCACTCAGGTTACTGTTTGTCTTTTTTTTGTCTTAGTGCCAGACTAAATCACTGAATCTGAGAAGTGACATCAGAGAAGCGTTGAATAGGACTCGTTGGTCCTCACTCTGAAATGTAATCCTTAACTCACACCTTTGAAAACACAAGGTGGGAGCGGTGATGTCAGCTGTTTAAATACACACAGCGTGCTTGCTCTTGTAATACTGACTGTCTGAGGGTTAGGTTAGGCGATCTGGAAGAAAACCAAGGTGAAAAGGGGATGTGATTCCTCCAACTTTATCTTGGTCCCGGCAAAAAAATGCTTGTTTCCCAGGATGGCAGTTTGGGCGTGGGGGATGAGGAGAGCTGTATCCAACATGCCCTGCTGAAGTACCTGGATGCCTGGTCGCTGATCCAGGACTTCTGGGACTACAACCTCCACGTGGGTCATCTGCTGCTGCTACAGAAGAGGTACCACAAAATCTCATCTGCGGTATTGTGTTGTGTGACAAAACTGCACATTTGAGAGTAGCCTTTTATTGTCCCCAGCACAAGGTGCACCTGTGTAATGATCACGCTGTTTAATCAGCTCCTTGATACGCCACACCTGTCAGGCGGATGGATTACCTTGGCAAAGGAGAAATGCTCACTAACAGGGATGTAAACACATTTCTGCACAACATTTTAAAGAAATAAGCTTTCTATGCGTATGGAAAATGTCTGGGATCTTTGATTTCAGCACATGAAACGTGGGAACCAACACTTTACATGGAAATTAGGTCACAGACTTGAGTATTAAAATTACAAAGCAATAAAACAATACTAGTTTTCTCAAAAAAGGCAATTTAATCTGGAACACTTCATCCACAGTAGGGTGTTTTATAACACAGTAAGAACATCTGTAGGCATAACTGGAGGCCTGTGATAATGAAACACACCCTGCCTGTGTAAAAGATACAAAGACCACAAGCATTTTTCTCCAGCAGCAAAATATGCTAACTTCAGTTAGCAGAGGAATTTTGTTCAGACTATCAACCTTCTGCCATTAGAAACATCGGCTACACGTGTTTTGAACAGGAGAAAGGATGGCTGGAGGGATGGAAGAGGGAGAAACAAAGGATATTGAGTTCCCACAAAATTCCTGTGTGACTCAATCTCATAACCTAACAACTCAATGGGAAAAATGTTGAGAGACGAGAGAGGAGAGAGAGAGAAGAGAGAGAGAGAGAGAGAGCGAGAGATAGAGAGAGAGAGAGAGAGAGAAGATAGATAGAGATAGAGAGATAGAGTGATAGATAGAAGAGAGAGCTCGATATAGAGAGCTTCGATCGAGATAGCTGGAGATCTGCGCGCTATAGCTCTCCGGACTCTACACAAACTACGCTCTCCCCTCCTATCTCTCTCGCTGAGAAATAGAAAGAGAGAAGGAGAGAGAGAGAGAGACTCTCTCTCTATCTCTTTAGGGGAGATATGAGAGAGGAGCAGAGTTTCTCACTGCCATCCATGGAGGCCAACTGGGTGTTATGTTAGTCATTTTAACTTGGACTAGCAGGCCTTGAAGATATAGAGCTAGTTGGGTCACAGTCCTGCTGGTGTTCACCACCTTCACCACCGACATTACTTTGCTAATTAGGTACATTGAATGGCCACAGCTTTCATACACCTGCTTCTGATGTACCCCCCTCCTCCCTCCCCCATCTGGTGGTGTCCAGGTCAGTCTGGGACTAACCATACCCATTAGTGGGGGGGGGGGGGGGATGCAAAACTGACCCAAGTTCAGCACCTAGGGGTACTTCACCGTACACCTCACACACGGTTGAGCTTGGTCACGATGAGGACGCGGACGGACTGGTCGAAGGCGGAGCAGACACACAGGCCCTGCTTATCGGGGCTCCAGTCCAGGCTGGCGATTGGCTGGGTGGACAGAGTGACGTTCTGCAGCAGGTTCACAGTGCCGGCCACGCCCATGTCCACCTCATCTGAGTCCTTCTTAATCCTCTGAGCAGGGTATTCACTGTTAACAGGACAGAAGACAGTAAATCCTCTGAGCAGGGTATTCACTATTAACAGGACAGAAGACAGTAAATCCTCTGAGCAGGGTATTCACTGTTAACAGGACAGAAGACAGTAAATCCTCTGAGCAGGGTATTCACTATTAACAGGACAGAAGACAGTAAATCCTCTGAGCAGGGTATTCACTGTTAACAGGACAGAAGACAGTAAATCCTCTGAGCAGGGTATTCACTATTAACAGGACAGAAGACAGTAAATCATCTGAGCAGGGTATTCACTATTAACAGGACAGAATACAGTAAATCCTCTGAGCAGGGTATTCACTGTTAACAGGACAGAAGACAGTAAATCCTCTGAGCAGGGTATTCACTGTTAACAGGACAGAAGACAGTAAATCCTCTGAGCAGGGTATTCACTATTAACAGGACAGAAGACAGTAAATCCTCTGAGCAGGGTATTCACTGTTAACAGGACAGAAGACAGTAAATCCTCTGAGCAGGGTATTCACTGTTAACAGGACAGAAGACAGTAAATCCTCTGAGCAGGGTATTCACTGTTAACAGGACAGAAGACAGTAAATCCTCTGAGCAGGGTATTCACTGTTAACAGGACAGAAGACAGTAAATCCTCTGAGCAGGGTATTCACTGTTAACAGGACAGAAGACAGTAAATCCTCTGAGCAGGGTATTCACTGTTAACAGGACAGAAGACAGTAAATCCTCTGAGCAGGGTATTCACTGTTAACAGGACAGATGACAGTAAATCCTCTGAGCAGGGTATTCACTGTTAACAGGACAGAAGACAGTAAATCCTCTGAGCAGGGTATTCACTGTTAACAGGACAGAAGACAGTAAATCCTCTGAGCAGGGTATTCACTGTTAACAGGACAGAAGACAGTAAATCCTCTGAGCAGGGTATTCACTGTTAACAGTACAGAAGATAGTACATCCTCTGAGCAGGGTATTCACTGTTAACAGGACAGAAGACAGTAAATCCTCTGAGCAGGGTATTCACTGTTAACAGTACAGAAGACAGTAAATCCTCTGAGCAGGGTATTCACTGTTAACAGTACAGAATACAGTAAATCCTCTGAGCAGGGTATTCACTGTTAACAGGACAGAAGACAGTAAATCCTCTGAGCAGGGTATTCACTATTAACAGGACAGAAGACAGTAAATCCTCTGAGCAGGGTATTCACTGTTAACAGGACAGAAGACAGTAAATCCTCTGAGCAGGGTATTCACTATTAACAGGACAAAGACAATAAATCCTCTGAGCAGGGTATTCACTGTTAACAGGACAGAAGACAGTAAATCCTCTGAGCAGGGTATTCACTGTTAACAGGACAGAAGACAGTAAATCCTCTGAGCAGGGTATTCACTGTTAACAGGACAGAAGACAGTAAATCCTCTGAGCAGGGTATTCACTGTTAACAGGACAGAAGACAGTAAATCCTCTGAGCAGGGTATTCACTGTTAACAGTACAGAAGACAGTAAATCCTCTGAGCAGGGTATTCACTGTTAACAGGACAGAAGACAGTAAATCCTCTGAGCAGGGTATTCACTGTTACCAGTACAGAAGACAGTAAATCCTCTGAGCAGGGTATTCACTGTTAACAGTACAGAATACAGTAAATCCTCTGAGCAGGGTATTCACTGTTAACAGGACAGAAGACAATAAATCCTCTGAGCAGGGTATTCACTATTAACAGGACAGAAGACAGTAAATCCTCTGAGCAGGGTATTCACTGTTAACAGGACAGAAGACAATAAATCCTCTGAGCAGGGTATTCACTATTAACAGGACAAAGACAATAAATCCTCTGAGCAGGGTATTCACTATTAACAGGACAAAGACAATAAATCCTCTGAGCAGGGTATTCACTGTTAACAGGACAGAAGACAGTAAATCCTCTGAGCAGGGTATTCACTGTTAACAGGACAAAGACAATAAATCCTCTGAGCAGGGTATTCACTATTAACAGGACAAAGACAGTAAATCCTCTGAGCAGGGTATTCACTGTTAACAGGACAAAGACAATAAATCCTCTGAGCAGGGTATTCACTGTTAACAGTACAGAATACAGTAAATCCTCTGAGCAGGGTATTCACTGTTAACAGGACAGAAGACAGTAAATCCTCTGAGCAGGGTATTCACTATTAACAGGACAAAGACAATAAATCCTCTGAGCAGGGTATTCACTGTTAACAGTACAGAAGACAGTAAATCCTCTGAGCAGGGTATTCACTGTTAACAGTACAGAAGACAGTAAATCCTCTGAGCAGGGTATTCACTGTTAACAGGACAGAAGACAGTAAATCCTCTGAGCAGGGTATTCACTGTTAACAGTACAGAATACAGTAAATCCTCTGAGCAGGGTATTCACTGTTAACAGGACAGAAGACAATAAATCCTCTGAGCAGGGTATTCACTATTAACAGGACAGAAGACAGTAAATCCTCTGAGCAGGGTATTCACTGTTAACAGGACAGAAGACAGTAAATCCTCTGAGCAGGGTATTCACTGTTAACAGGACAGAAGACAGTAAATCCTCTGAGCAGGGTATTCACTGTTAACAGTACAGAAGACAGTAAATCCTCTGAGCAGGGTATTCACTGTTAACAGGACAGAAGACAGTAAATCCTCTGAGCAGGGTATTCACTGTTACCAGTACAGAAGACAGTAAATCCTCTGAGCAGGGTATTCACTGTTAACAGTACAGAATACAGTAAATCCTCTGAGCAGGGTATTCACTGTTAACAGGACAGAAGACAATAAATCCTCTGAGCAGGGTATTCACTATTAACAGGACAGAAGACAGTAAATCCTCTGAGCAGGGTATTCACTGTTAACAGGACAGAAGACAATAAATCCTCTGAGCAGGGTATTCACTATTAACAGGACAAAGACAATAAATCCTCTGAGCAGGGTATTCACTATTAACAGGACAAAGACAATAAATCCTCTGAGCAGGGTATTCACTGTTAACAGGACAGAAGACAGTAAATCCTCTGAGCAGGGTATTCACTGTTAACAGGACAAAGACAATAAATCCTCTGAGCAGGGTATTCACTATTAACAGGACAAAGACAGTAAATCCTCTGAGCAGGGTATTCACTGTTAACAGGACAAAGACAATAAATCCTCTGAGCAGGGTATTCACTGTTAACAGTACAGAATACAGTAAATCCTCTGAGCAGGGTATTCACTGTTAACAGGACAGAAGACAGTAAATCCTCTGAGCAGGGTATTCACTATTAACAGGACAAAGACAATAAATCCTCTGAGCAGGGTATTCACTGTTAACAGTACAGAAGACAGTAAATCCTCTGAGCAGGGTATTCACTGTTAACAGTACAGAAGACAGTAAATCCTCTGAGCAGGGTATTCACTGTTAACAGGACAGAAGACAGTAAATCCTCTGAGCAGGGTATTCACTGTTAACAGTACAGAATACAGTAAATCCTCTGAGCAGGGTATTCACTGTTAACAGGACAGAAGACAATAAATCCTCTGAGCAGGGTATTCACTGTTAACAGGACAGAAGACAGTAAATCCTCTGAGCAGGGTATTCACTATTAACAGGACAAAGACAATAAATCCTCTGAGCAGGGTATTCACTGTTAACAGGACAGAAGACAGTAAATCCTCTGAGCAGGGTATTCACTATTAACAGGACAAAGACAATAAATCCTCTGAGCAGGGTATTCACTGTTAACAGGACAGAAGACAGTAAATCATCTGAGCAGGGTATTCACTGTTAACAGGACAAAGACAATAAATCCTCTGAGCAGGGTATTCACTATTAACAGGACAAAGACAGTAAATCCTCTGAGCAGGGTATTCACTGTTAACAGGACGGAAGACAGTAAATCCTCTGAGCAGGGTATTCACTGTTAACAGGACAGAAGACAATAAATCCTCTGAGCAGGGTATTCACTGTTAACAGGACAGAAGACAGTAAATCCTCTGAGCAGGTTATTCACTGTTAACAGGACAGAAGACAATAAATCCTCTGAGCAGGGTATTCACTATTAACAGGACAAAGACAATAAATCCTCTGAGCAGGGTATTCACTGTTAACAGGACAGAAGACAGTAAATCCTCTGAGCAGGGTATTCACTGTTAACAGGACAGAAGACAGTAAATCCTCTTAGCAGGGTATTCACTGTTAACAGGACAGAAGACAGTAAATCCTCTGAGCAGGGTATTCACTGTTAACAGGACAGAAGACAATAAATCCTCTGAGCAGGGTATTCACTATTAACAGGACAGAAGACAGTAAATCCTCTGAGCAGGGTATTCACTGTTAACAGGACAGAAGACAATAAATCCTCTGAGCAGGGTATTCACTATTAACAGGACAAAGACAATAAATCCTCTGAGCAGGGTATTCACTGTTAACAGGACAGAAGACAGTAAATCCTCTGAGCAGGGTATTCACTGTTAACAGGACAGAAGACAATAAATCCTCTGAGCAGGGTATTCACTGTTAACAGGACAGAAGACAGTAAATCCTCTTAGCAGGGTATTCACTGTTAACAGGACAGAAGACAGTAAATCCTCTGAGCAGGGTATTCACTGTTAACAGGACAGAAGACAATAAATCCTCTGAGCAGGGTATTCACTATTAACAGGACAAAGACAATAAATCCTCTGAGCAGGGTATTCACTGTTAACAGGACATAAGACAATAAATCTCTGAGCAGGGTATTCACTGTTAACAGGACGGAAGACAGTAAATCCTCTGAGCAGGGTATTCACTGTTAACAGGACAGAAGACAGTAAATCATCTGAGCAGGGTATTCACTATTAACAGGACGGAAGACAATAAATCCTCTGAGCAGGGTATTCACTGTTAACAGGACAGAAGACAATAAATCCTCTGAGCAGGGTATTCACTGTTAACAGGACAGAATACAATAAATCCTCTGAGCAGGGTATTCACTGTTAACAGGACAGAAGACAGTAAATCATCTGAGCAGGGTATTCACTGTTAACAGGACAGAAGACAGCAGGAATCAAGGATGCATCTACACACTAGTCTAGACTCTAGACTCATTCAGGGCTAAATCCTACATGTAACTTGAGATATAAGCGCATAACTCAGACTTTCACATACAGTACATCATGCACTGATGCCAATTATGCATGTTTATCTCAAGTTAGGATTCAGCCCATATACTGTACCAGCAGTGTCCCTCCAGAACCAGGAGTGAAGAGCATTTATTTTGAGTCTTAACTAGTTTACCATTATAGAGACATGTTTCTAAGGTTATATACATTGAAATCCATTTGACCAAGTAAGTGAAGAATAGATAAAGTTACTTACTATTTCCATAGATGAAGGTTTCCAGCTCCTCCTGCCGTCATAAAGATGTCTCTGTTCTGGGGCAGATGTCTCACTTGCCAGATAGTCGATTTATGGGCCTGGAATGAAATGGGAAAGAATCCATTCCATACAAAAGGATGTGCTTAAACATTTTCAAATGGATATTGCAAGCATAGAAATACAATTCATAGAATGGGACCCGCATTCAAGTTAATGTATGGTCATTCTATTTCTGTGATTGCAAGTTCACAGGGATATCGCACAATGAGTAGCTGACTGGACAGCATGCTCGCTAGAATCACACAAACCAAAGGTCTAGTAATATATTCACTCAACGGTTAGTAATATTCCATGTCGGTGGCAGACGTACAACTTTGATTAGGGGAAGGGGCATGAAACCAGAAACAACTCAACAATCTAAGAAACAAAAGAACAATCTAAGTGGATTGAAACCCAAAATGAGATTAGACATATTTATGTTCCCGACTGTTGATTGCTCAATGAACTACACAAATATTTGAAGAGGTATGGCGGCAAAGTCCTCTCTGATCTCCCCAGACCTCCAAACACCAGATCGAACGGAGCCAGGGTCGTACCCTAATCCCTATAAAGTGCACTACATTTGACCGGGGCCCATAGGGCACTAGTTAAAATAATAATAATTTGGTGGGTGTTTATATTCGTCCAGTGTGTATTAATATGCATTGTGTGAATTGGAAATGTTATTATTCGTTTTTTGTTGCACATCCCAACTCTCCCTGTGACAGACACCCTTGGAGAGTCATGGGTCATGGCCAGGGTTTGACCTTGGAGCAATTGGGGTTAAGCGCCTTGCTCAAAGGCACGTCCAGATTCTTCACCTTGTCGGGTCCTGGATTCGAAATAGGTTACAGGCCCAACGCTCTAACCCAGGGGTGTCAAACGTACGGCCCGCGGGCCGGATCAGGCCCGCAAACGGGTTTAATCCGGCCCGCGAGATGATTTCGGATTTTTTTGTGTTTTTTTTTTTGTGTAAAGTATAAAAATGCGCTGCAATTTTTCAATAAAATAAACTGCTGTTCCAATTGCGTCCACTGGATGGCGCAATAGCAATTGTGTTAAGCAAGCAAACTGTTTATACCGGGGCAGAGCAAGTAGGTCAAGCACGTGCAGCCAATGAGCTACTTTGTTTTGCCCGCGATATTTATTACGGCTTCTACTTTTAACATTATGTGCTTTGGCACCCTCATTGCCCCAATATGTCTCTGTCAAAAAAGAGAAAAGTGGACGCAGAGTGCAGAGTGTTCCAAGAAAAATTGTCATCCTATTTATTCACGGAATTGAATGGGAAAGCTGTATGTTTGGTGTGTTCAGAGCATGTTGCAGTGCTGAAAGAATATAACCTTCGTCGCCACTATGTGAGTCTTCATGCCGACATATATGACAACTTTCAAGGACAGCGGAGATGAGAGAAGGCGGGTCTGAAGAAACAGCAGTCTGTGTTTACTCACAGCCGAGACATCAGTGATGCTGCAGTGAAAGCTAGCTACCTCATTGCTAATGAAATCGCAGTGGCTTCAAAACCATTTAGTGAGGGTGAATTTGTAAAAACATGCATGATGAAGGCAGCAGAGATTGTGTGCCCTGAAAAGCGGCAGGCTTTTGCAAATATCAGCCTGACAAGAAACACAGTTGCAGACAGGATTTCCGATCTTTCAGTGGATTTGGACAGCCAGTTGAAGCAAAAAGTAAAGTCATTTATTGCGTTTTCGGTTGCAATTGATGAAAGCACGGACATTACAGATGTTGCACAACTGGCCATTTTCATCCGCGGAGTTGATGACACATTGACCGTCACCGAGGAGTTCGTGGAGTTGGTGCCGATGACAGATACAACGACAGCAGCTGATATTTTTACCGCACTCGTCGGCGCGCTGGACAGAGTCGGAGTGGACTGGTCCCGCGCTGTCAGCCTGGCTACAGATGGTGCGCCCTCAATGATCGGGAAAAAAGCAGGCGTTGTGACAAAGTTCAGAGAGAAAGTGCAATTTTCAAATGGAGGACGTGATTTTTTGACTTTTCACTGTATTTTGCACCAGGAGGCTTTGTGTTGCAAGTCATTAAAGATGGATAACGTCATGAAGGTGGTCATCCAAACTGTTAATTTCATCCGATCCAGAAGCCTGAATCACCGTCAGTTTGACAGCCTTCTCAGAGAGAAAGACCACATCTATGGCCTGCCATACCACACTGAGGTAAGATGGTTAAGCCGAGGTGCTGTGCTGAGGCGTTTCTTTGATTTACGAGAAGAAATTGAACAGTTCATGGAAGAAAAGGGCAAACCAGTGTTAGAATTTCATTCCGCAGAATGGATGCAGGACCTTGCATTTATGGTGGATGTTACAGAGCACCTGAATAACTTGAACAAACAGCTGCAAGGGCGCAACAAAGTTGTCACGCAGTATTATGACAGCATACGTTCTTTCAAGTTGAAGCTGTCATTGTGGGAGACAACTTGCCGGTGGTGATGCAGCTCACTTCCCCTGTCTGAAAAATGTGTGCGCGACCCAACATGTGGCAGACATGAAGCGGTTCAAAGATAAAATAACGGGACTGTTACGGGAGTTTGAGCAACGCTTTCAGATTTATGTTTATGTTTTTATGTTGATGTGCTATTGTTTTTAATTGATTTTATTTGTATATTTAACCTATTCTTGACTCTGTGGTTCTTGCACTTGTTTGGGGAACAGGATTTCATTATTTTTATCTACATTTCTGCCTGAGAAATGACACCCTGATATAGTTCTGTGATCTGTGAAACAGTTCTGTTAATCACTGAGGCATTGTGTGTTTGTGTGTTCTTTTTCTTTTGAATTTTCAAATAAACTTGACGTGTTTTATGATTAATAGTCATGTTGTGCTTGTACTATTTTGGACACACTGTCCTCAGGCTCCAGCTTTATGTTGTATGTTGATCGTATTAAAACAAAGAAAACAATCTGAAGTTGTTGTTTTTAAGTTATATATACCATGATTTTTCCGGTCCGGCCCACTTGGGAATAGATTTTCCTCCATGTGGCCCCTGAGCTAAAATGAGTTTGACACCCCTGCTCTAACCGCTAGGTTACCCATAGGGCTCTGGTCAAAAGTAGTGTACTATATAGTGGAAAGAGTGCCATGTGGGACGCACCCCTGGGCTTTAATGCAATTTAGTCAAGTGTGTTTTCATTTCACAGAGGAACGATTGAAAAAGCCACACTCGCTCTCCTCCGACCGTATGTGGTCTTTGGCAGGCAACTTCATGGCAATGAGCATGTAAGAAAAACACAGATCCAGTTGTGAAAACATTCAAACTGACTTTCTCTCTCTCCGTAACCACAACGGACTCACCGGCACCGGAGGATGAAAAATAACCTTTGACGCTTTTCCCGTCAGCACCCCACCAAAGGTAAGCCTTCTATTTCGCTAATTACCTTTTCGGAAACGGAGTCGAAGCCCTTGGTGGGGTGCTGGGTCCTCATGTCAAAGACGTGGAATTTCCCCTCCAATGAAGTGGCCACTAGCTTGTTCATGTTGATATCCTTCCTGTCAAACTCCACGTGGCATACCTGCCGGACAGTTATAAAAGAAAATAACACAATGAGGCACTGAGTCCTTGGAGCGGACAGCCGGACAGCCGAGCCATACCAGAGAAATGACCTCAGTAGAACTAACTTCAGCTCCTAGCACTGAGAGAAATGACCTCAGTAGAACTAACTTCAGCTCCTAGCAGAGAAATGTCCTCAGTAGAACTAACTTCAGCTCCTAGCACTGAGAGAAATGACCTCAGTAGAACTAACTTCAGCTCCTAGCAGAAAAATGACCTCAGTAGAACTAACTTCAGCTCCTAGCAGAGAAATGACCTCAGTAGAACTAACTTCAGCTCCTAGCAGAGAAATGACCTCAGTAGAACTAACTTCAGCTCCTAGCACTGAGAGAAATGACTTCAGTAGAACTAACTTCAGCTCCTAGCAGAGAAATGTCCTCAGTAGAACTAACTTCAGCTCCTAGCAGAGAAATGACCTCAGCAGAACTAACTTCAGCTCCTAGCAGAGAAATGTCCTCAGTAGAACTAACTTCAGCTCCTAGCAGAGAAATGACCTCAGCAGAACTAACTTCAGCTCCTAGCAGAGAAATGACCTCAGCAGAACTAACTTCAGCTCCTAGCAGAGAAATGTCCTCAGTAGAACTAACTTCAGCTCCTAGCAGAGAAATGACCTCAGCAGAACTAACTTCAGCTCCTAGCAGAGAAATGACCTCAGTAGAACTAACTTCAGCTCCTAGCAGAGAAATGTCCTCAATAGAACTAACTTCAGCTCCTAGCAGAGAAATGTCCTCAGTAGAACTAACTTCAGCTCCTAGCACCGAGAGAAATGTCCTCAGTAGAACTAACTTCAGCTCCTAGCACCGAGAGAAATGTCCTCAGTAGAACTAACTTTAGCTCCTAGCAGAGAAATGACCTCAGTAGAACTAACTTCAGCTCTTAGCAGAGAAATGACCTCAGTAGAACTAACTTCAGCTCCTAGCAGAGAAATGTCCTCAGTAGAACTAACTTCAGCTCCTAGCACCGAGAGAAATGTCCTCAGTAGAACTAACTTTAGCTCCTAGCAGAGAAATGTCCTCAGTAGAACTAACTTCAGCTCCTAGCACCGAGAGAAATGTCCCCAGTAGAACTAACTTCAGCTCCTAGCAGAGAAATGTCCACAGTAGAACTAACTTCATCTCCTAGCACCGAGAGAAATGTCCTCAGTAGAACTAACTTCAGCTCCTAGCAGATAAATGTCCTCAGTAGAACTAACTTCAGCTCCTAGAAGTGTATTGAAGTGAAATGATAGTATGTGTAAAGCATACTTAATGATATACTAGAAAAGTACATCTGGTATTTTGAAGTATATTCTATTAATTCGTAGTATATTTAAGTATACACGTAATATATTAAAATATACTTTTTCCACCGATTGGGTCTCAGTGTTGAAAGGGGAAAAAATGGGCCCTTGTAGAATACAGATAGACATGTATAAGAGCATGAAACATTACATACACAACACCAATAATCCAGGAAAAACATTTCAAAATGTCCAATGTCAAAAGGTAAAAATTGTAATAGTTTTCCATTAAAATTGACAAAAATTGCTTTTTTTGCAACAAAAAACACTTTCTCAAGCAATAATTTTGCTTGGACTGTCTGGGAATGGTCTGAGTGGGGAGGGGGGAACTTAAAACTAGCTGTTATTGGCAGAGAGGTTTGGAACTCATTGTTATTGGTCTACTAAACAAGCCAAAACTCCTGCCCATTCAAACAGGCTGATTAGAAGGTCCTGTGTAGATTGTATTTTCAACCAGCAACTATCAGGAAATAACACTGATCAACATTTTTCACACCTTTAAAGTGTTAGTTTCATCAGCTGTTGTACAATATGATACAAAACACAGGAAAAACTGAATTTTGACTGCACTGGGCCTTTAACGTATATCAAGGTTGGCTGTTCATAGTCACAATATGAAGGTAGCTGCTATTCTGCTGTTACTGTGTCAATATCGAATCGAGCAAAAAGAAGGTACAGACCACTACTACCATATAATTCTCCAGACATTCAGGGCTGATTTCCTGGACACAGATTAAGGGCTCTATTCAACCTGTAATGCTGAAGCATTACCGATTCCGCCATAGAAATGTAAAGGTCATTTCCGATTGAGCCGACATATTGCAGCGTTTACCCTGAACGCAGTCTCCGCTAAAGCGGGAACATTGCCTTTACATTTCAATCACGCTGTAAAGCTGAACTTCCGCGGTGCGGATAGAACAGAGCCCTAAGCATTCTTCTCGACTAGAATCTCCATTGAAAGTGCATTTCAGAATAGAACTGAGCTTAAAGGGACAGTGCGAGATTTTAGTTGAGAAGAAGGCTTAATCTGTGTCCAGGAAACCAGCCAACAATTTATACTTACCCAGAGTAAATTAACTAATTGATATGTCTCTGCGTCCTGTATGTCTCTGTGTCCAGTATGCCTCTGCGTCCAGTATGAAGAAGGTTCAAGATAGTTTTAAGAGATGTTGCTAACTAGCGTTAGCACGATGACTGGAGGTCTACAGGTACAGCTAGCACACTGCACGCAGAGACATACCATTTTTACCCATCAGTTAATCTGTCTCTGGGTAAATCGAAAAATAGCTCAATTGCCTAAATCTGGCACTCTCCCTTTAATCTGGGTGCAGGAAACCGGCCCTTGGCATCTTCAGGTGGCCTCACCCCATTTTTAATGTTGGTTTCCCACCGGAGAGACATGTTCCTGAGGTCAAAGAGCTTGATGTCTCCGTTGTCGTAGCCAGCACACACACAGCGGTCCTGGTCATTGAAGGCGTGGCCTGGAGAAGAAATGGTCAAACAGACTTTACTCAGAGGGGTTAAATTATCATTATGATGGTGTTTTAAATGTAGTAACTTAGACATTTAGGACCTATGCTTTGCTAATTTCTGCAAGCGAAGGATAACATGAGATCTATTCATTCCTGCGTCCCAATGCAGATTTGAGATGAGCGCAGATGAGTGAAGTGACAGGAGCGATGCAGCATGGGAAACCACGGGTTTCCATTATGCTAGTATTTTTCCCCATACGTACCAAAAGCTACGGTCCAGCAGTCTCTCTTGGCCTCCCCCTCCCCTGGCTCCATGTTCGCCACAGGTGAGTCCTTCTGTCTGGGGTCCCACACCTTCACTGTCCCTGGAAGACAGAACACAGACAGCAGGGATAACATTAAACACATATTTTGATGCCTCATGTAAGATGGCGGCACTGCAGGACTGTTTTGAGAATACTGATTGGAATATGTTAAAAGATTAATCCATCCAGGACTCGTCCATCAACATTGAGGAATATACAGGCAACTGACAATATAAAGGAAACGAGTAAATGAGAGATACAAGTATATCGAAAGCAGGTGCTTCCACACAAGTGTGGTTCCTGACTTAATTAAGCCATGAACATCCCATCATGCTTAGGGTCATGTATAAAAATGCCCAGTTGGCCATCATTTTGGCTACCATGGCTAGAAGAAGAGATCTCAGTGACTTTGAAAGAGGGGTCTCAAAGGAGCATAAATCTAGCGACAGTCACTAAGTTGGCAACACTGCGGCCCATTCGTTTCGCACACATGCAGGTGATGCATGCATACACAGCCGCGCTAAAGTGTCATTCCGATCCTGGCTGATATGTTGATTTGTAAATTGATTGATAACATATTTATAAAACTGTGCCTAACTAAATTACATTTACAGAAATTATGAAATTAATTTCCATGACTTTTTGGGATTTTTATCATTTTCCCAAAACTTTTCCAGGCCTGGAAAACACCATTTTAAAATTCCATGACTTTTCCAGGATTTTCATGACTGTAAGAACCCTGCTGGTCGCGTCCTCAGAGTTTGTGCTGACCAACTGTTGGCTCTCTTCTCGGACATCTTCAACCTGTGACCACCATCATCCCAGTGTCCAAGAAAATCAAGGCGACATGGCCAAATGACTATCGCCTTGTCGCACTCACCCCAGTCATCATGAAGTGCTTCAAGAGGCTGTTTTGGAAAAAAAATCGGATTCTACTGCTTGTATCAGTTATCTGATGTGAAATGGAGTTCCATGTAGCCATGGCTCTATGTAGTACTGTGCGCCTCCCATAGTCCGTTCTGGACTTGGAGATTGCGAAGAGACCTCTGGTGGCATGTCTTATGGGGTATGCATGGGTGTCCGAGCTGTGTGCTAGTAGTTTAAAACAGACACCTCGGTGCATTCAGCATGTCAACACTTCTTACAAAAACAAGTAGTGATGAAGTCGATCTCTCCTCCACTTTGAGCCATGAGAGATTGACATGCATATTATTAACGTTAGCTCTCCGTGTACATTTAAGGGCCAGCCGCGCTGCCCTGATCGGAGCCAATAGTCCCTCCTTGTGGCACCTGACCCCACGACTGAACAGTAGTCCAGGTGCTACAAAACAAGGGCCAGTAGGACCTGCTTTGTTGATAGTGCTGTTAAAAAGGCAGAGCATCACTTTATTATGGACAGACTTCTACTGTTGCATCAACATGTTTTGACCATGACGGTTTACAATCCAGGGTTACTCCAAGCAGTTTAGTCACCTCAACTTTCTCAATTTCCACATTATTCATTACAATATTTAGTTGGCGTTTATGGTTTAGTGAATGATTTGTCCCAAATACAATGCTTTTAGTTTTTTGAAATATTTAGGACTAACTTATTTATTGCCACCCATTCTGAAACTAACTGTAGCTCTTTGTTAAGTGTTGCAGTGATTTCACTCACTGTAGTAGCTGACGTGTATAGTGTTGAGTCATCCGCATTCATAGACACACTGGCTTTACTCAAAGCCAGTGGTATGTCATTAGTAAAAATTGAAAAAAGTAAGGGGCCTAGACAGCTGCCCTGGAGAATGCGTGATTCTACCTGGATTATTTTGGAGAGGCTTCCATTAAAGAACACCCTCTGTGTTCTGTTAGACAGGTAACTCTTTATCCACAATATAGCAGGGGGTGTAAAGCCATAATAAATATGTTTTTCCAGCAGCAGACTATGATCGATGACGTCAAAAGCCGCACTGAAGTCTAACAAAACACCTCCCACAATCTTTTTTTTTTGTCTGGCTTAGCATTCCAAATAAAATGAAATACTTTTTGCTCATATGATTTAAAAAAACGAGTTGTCTGGAGTAGGCAGCGCCATCAGTAAGTAAGTAAACTGAGATAGGACCAAAGAGTTAATCAATGTGATTTTTCCATAAATAGACAAGTATTTACCTCTCCATGGTTGCAGAATCTTATCTATTTTTGCTAACTTCCTATTTAAATTGATTGTGGTAAGTTAATTGATATTTTTTTTAGATATGAATACCAAGTACGTCTACTTCACCATCCGTCCATTTTATTGGTAAACTACAAGGTAGTGTAAACACTGTGTCTTTTAACGATCCAATATGTAATATGGTACACTTGTCATAATTAGGTTTTAGTCCAGAGAGGTCAGAAAAGGGATCAAGATCTTCAATGAGACTGTGCAGGGATCCAGATTGCGGACTTAAGAAGAAACTTGAGTCATCGGCAAACACTTACACTTTTGTTTTCATCCCCTGGATTTCTAACCCCTTGATGTTCTTGTTGGATCTAATTTTAATAGCTAGCATTTCAATGGCCATAATAAATAGATATGGAGACAACGGACAGCCTTGTTTTACTCCTTAAAAGCTCAATACTTTCTGAGAAGTAACCATTATTTAAATATTTTACACCTTGGGTTGCTGTACATAACTTTATACCCCATAAATCCCAAAATACAGGTGTGCCAAGCTTGTAGCATCATACCCAAGAAGACTCGAGGCTGTAATCGCTGCCAAAGGTGCTTCAACAAAGTACTGAGTAAAGGGTCTGAATACTTATGTAAATGTGATATTTCAGTTGATTATTTTGTATAAATGTGCAAAAATGTATAAAATCCTGTTTTTGCTTTGTCATTATTGGTTATTGTGTGTAGATTGAGGGGGAAAACAATTTAATCCATTTCAGAATAAGGCTGTAAATTAACAAAATATGGAAAAAGTCAAGGGGAATGCTGTTCATTGACTATAGTTCAGCATTCAACTCTATTGTTCCCTCCAAGCGCGACACCAAGCTCAGAGCCCTGGGTCTGGACACCACCCTCTGCAACTGGACCCTGGACTTCCTGACGGGCAGACCACAGGCTGTGAGGATTGGCAACAACACCTCCTCTACACTGACTCTTAACACAGGGGCCCCCCAGGGGTGTGTCCTGGACTTCCTGAGGGGCAGACCACAGGCTGTGAGGATTGGCAACAACACCTCCTCCACACTGACTCTTAACACAGGGGCCCCCCAGGGGTGTGTCCTGGACTTCCTGACGGGCAGACCACAGGCTGTGAGGATTGGCAACAACACCTCCTCCCTGCTGACTCTTAACACATCTCAAGGGTGTGCAAAGCTGTCATCAAGGCAAAGCGTGGCTACTTTGAAGAATCTAACATCTAAAATATATTTTGATTTGTTTAACACTTTTTTGGTTACTACATGATTTCATATGTGTTATTTCATAGTTTTGATGTCTTCACTATTATTCTACAATGTAGAAAATAGTAAAAATCAAGAAAAACCCTTGAATGAGTAGGTGTTTCCAAACGTTTGAATGGTACTGTATATGGCAAGACTTGAAAATGGCTGTCTAGCAATGATCAACAACCAACTTGACAGAGCTTGAAGACTTTTAAAAATTAGAATGTGCAAATATTGTACAATCCAGGTGTGGAAAGCTCTTAGAGACTTAACCAGAAAGACTCACAGTTGTAATCACTGCCAAAGGTGATTCTAACACGTATTGACTCTGGGGGTTGAATACTTATCTAATGAAGATATGAGTGTTATTTCTTACAAATGTTAGAATTTTTTTTCCACTTTGACATTACAGAGTATTTTGTGTAGCTCGTTGACCAAAAATGACAATTAAATCCATTTGAATCCCACTTTGTAACACAACAAAATGTGGAAAAAGTCAAGGGATGTGAATACTTTCTGAAAGTACTGTAAATATTGTACTACTATAAAGTGTGCCTTCCTGTATTATACTTATGCTAAATGTTTATTCTATTCTACTGAGCTATTTACTTTATGTTCGTATTCTTATCTTTATTATTTCTTATTGTTGTTGTATTGTCGAGAAGGAACCTGAAAGAAAGCATTTAGTTGGACTGTTTTGCTAGCACAGACTGGAACATGTTCCGGGATTCTTCAGACAGCATTGAGGAGTACACCACATCAGTCACTGGCTTCATCAATAAGTGCATCGATGATGTCGTCCCCACAGTGACCGTACGTACATACCCCAACCAGAAGCCATGGATTACAGGAAACATCCGCACTGAGCTAAAGGGTAGAGCTGCCGCTTTCAAGGAACGGGACTCTAACCCGGACGCTTATAAGAAATCCCGCTATGCCCTCCGACGAACCATCAAACAGGCAAAGAGTCAATACAGGACTAAGATTGAATCGTACTACACTGGCTCTGACGCTCGTCGGATGTGGCAGGGCTTGAAAACTATTACAGACTACAAAGGGAAGCACAGCCGCGAGCTGCCCAGTGACACAAGCCTACCAGACGAGCTAAACCACTTCTATGCTCGCTTCGAGGCAAGCAACACTGAAGCATGCATGAGAGCACCAGCTGTTCCGGATGACTATGTGATCACGCTCTCCGTAGCCGATGTGAGTAAGACTTTTAAGCAGGTCAACATTCACAAGGCCGCAGGGCCAGACGGATTACCAGGACGTGTACTCCGAGCATGTGCTGACCAACTGGCAAGTGTCTTCACTGACATTTTCAACATGTCCCTGACTGAGTCTGTAATACCAACATGTTTCAAGCAGACCACCATAGTCCCTGTGCCCAAGGACTCTAAGATAACCTGCCTAAATGACTACCGACCCGTAGCACTGACGTCTGTAGCCATGAAGTGCTTTGAAAGGCTGGTCATGGCTCACATCAACAGCATTATCCCAGAAACCCTAGACCCACTCCAATTTGCATACCGCCTCAACAGATCCACAGATGATGCAATCTCTATTGCACTCCACACTGCCCTTTCCCACCTGGACAAGAGGAACACCTACGTGAGAATGCTATTCATTGACTACAGCTCAGCATTCAACACCATAGTGCCCTCTAAGCTCATCACTAAGCTAAGGATCCTGGGACTAAACACCTCCCTCTGCAACTGGATCCTGGACTTCCTGACGGGCCACCCCCAGGTGGTAAGGGTAGGTAACAACACATCTGCCACACTGATCCTCAACACGGGGGCCCCTCAGGGGTGCGTGCTCAGTCCCCTCCTGTACTCTCTGTTCACCCATGACTGCATGGCCAGGCACGACTCCAACACCATCATTAAGTTTGCCGACGACACAACAGTGGTAGGCCTGATCACCGACAACGATGAGACAGCCTATAGGGAGGAGGTCAGAGACCTGGCCGTGTGGTGCCAGGACAACAACCTCTCCCTCAACGTGACCAAGACAAAGGAGATGATTGTGGACTACAGGAAAAAAAAGAGGACTGAGCACGCCCCCATTCTCATCGACGGGGCTGTAGTGGAACAGGTTGAGAGCTTCAAGTTCCTTGGTGTCCACATCACCAACGAACTATCATGGTCCAAACACACCAAGACAGTCGTGAAGAGGGCACGACAAAGCCTATTCCCCCTCAGGAGACTGAAAAGATTTGGCATGGGTCCTCAGATCGTCAAAAAATTATACAGCTGCACCATCAAGAGCATCCTGACTGGTTGCATCACCGCCTGGTATGGCAACTGCTTTGCCTCCGACCGCAAGGCACTACAGAGTGTAGTGCGTACGGCCCAGTACATCACTGGGGCCAAGCTTCCTACCATCCAGGACCTCTATACCAGGCGGTGTCAGAGGAAGGCCCTCAAAATTGTCAAAGACTCCAGCCACCCTAGTCATAGACTGTTCTCTCTGCTACCGCATGGCAAGCGGTACCGGAGTGCCAAGTCTAGGTCCAAAAGACTTCTCAACAGCTTCTACCCCCAAGCCATAAGACTCCTGAACAGCTAATCATGGCTACCCGGACTATTTGCACTGCCCCCCCACCCCATCCTTTTTACGCTGCTGCTACTCTGTTAATTATTTATGCATAGTCACTTTAACTCTACCCACATGTACATATTACTTCAACTACCTCAACTAGCCGGTGCCCCCGCACATTGACTCTGCACCGGTACCCCCCTGTATATACAGTGGGGAAAAAAAGTATTTAGTCAGCCACCAATTGTGCAAGTTCTCCCACTTAAAAAGATGAGAGAGGCCTGTAATTTTCATCATAAGTACACGTCAACTATGACAGACAAATTGAGAAAAGAAAATCCAGAAAATCACATTGTAGGATTTTTTATGAATTTATTTGCAAATTATGGTGGAAAATAAGTATTTGGTCACCTACAAACAAGCAAGATTTCTGGCTCTCACAGACCTGTAACTTCTTCTTTAAGAGGCTCCTCTGTCCTCCACTCGTTACCTGTATTAATGGCACCTGTTTGAACTTGTTGTCAGTATAAAAGACACCTGTCCACAACCTCAAATAGTCACACTCCAAACTCCACTATGGCCAAGACCAAAGAGCTGTCAAAGGACACCAGAAACAAAATTGTAGACCTGCACCAGGCTGGGAAGACTGAATCTGCAATAGGTAAGCAGCTTGGTTTGAAGAAAGCAACTGTGGGAGCAATTATTAGGAAATGGAAGACATACAAGACCACTGATAATCTCCCTCGATCTGGGGCTCCACGCAAGATCTCACCCCGTGGGGTCAAAATGATCACAAGAACGGTGAGCAAAAATCCCAGAACCACACGGGGGGACCTAGTGATTGACCTGCAGAGAGCTGGGACCAAAGTAACAAAGCCTACCATCAGTAACACACTACGCCGCCAGGGACTCAAATACTGCAGTGACAGACGTGTCACCCTGCTTAAGCCAGTACATGTCCAGGCCCGTCTGAAGTTTGCTGGAGTGCATTTGGATGATCCAGAAGAGGATTGGGAGAATGTCATATGGTCAGATGAAACCAAAATATAACTTTTTGGTAAAAACTAAACTCGTCGTGTTTGGAGGACAAAGAATGCTGAGTTGCATCCAAAGAACACCATACCTACTGTGAAGCATGGGGGTGGAAACATCATGCTTTGGGGCTGTTTTTCTGCAAAGGGACCAGGACGACTGATCCGTGTAAAGGAAAGAATGAATGGGGCCATGTATCGTGAGATTTTGAGTGAAAACCTCCTTCTATCAGCAAGGGCATTGAAGATGAAACGTGGCTGGGTCTTTCAGCATGACAATGATCCCAAACACACCGCCCGGGCAACGAAGGAGTGGCTTCGTAAGAAGCATTTCAAGGTCCTGGAGTGGCCTAGCCAGTCTCCAGATCTCAACCCCATAGAAAATCTTGGAGGGAGTTGAAAGTCTGTGTTGCCCAGCGACAGCCCCAAAACATCACTGCTCTAGAGGAGATCTGCATGGAGGAATGGGCCAAAATACCAGCAACAGTGTGTGAAAACCTTGTGAAGACTTACAGAAAACGTTTGACCTGTGTCATTGTCAACAAAGGGTATATAACAAAGTATTGAGAAACTTTTATTATTGACCAAATACTTATTTTCCATCATAATTTGCAAATAAATTCATTAAAAATCCTACAATGTGATTTTCTGGATTTTTTTTCCTCATTTTGTCTGTCATAGTTGACGTGTACCTATGATGAAAATTACAGGCCTCTCTCATCTTTTTAAGTGGGAGAACTTGCACAATTGGTGGCTGACTAAATACATTTTTCCCCCACTGTATAGCCTCCCTACTGTTATTTTATTTTACTTCTGCTCTTTTTTTCTCAACACTTTTTTTGTTGTTGTTTTATTTTTATTTTTCCGTTAAAAATAAATGCACTGTTGGTTAAGGGCTGTAAGTAAGCATTTCACTGTAATGTCTGCACCTGTTGTATTCGGCGCATGTGACCAATAAAATTTGATTTGATTTGATTTGTATACTGGATACCATGTGTATCCTGTACTTGAAACTAAAACTTGAAACTCAGTTGATGTTAATGAATTTATGACTTCTGTCTGTATTCTATCTTCTTTTACAGCATCCTACGAGTGCTTGCCTAAGAATCCTAGCTACACCCTCAGGATTAAAGTAATCTTTTAAAAAATATATAATAATTACCATCTCTGCTCCCAGTCACGATCTCGGGGGCCCCGTCACCGATCCCCAGACCCCCGACACCATCTATGCTGTTCACGATCTCCTTGTGGGCCTTCACAGAGTACACAGACACGTCGGGCACCTCCAGGTTCCTACAGACAGACAGGGGATATCACAGGATCAGATGACGACCGCACAGGCAACTAGGTACCAAAATACCAAGTCTGGAACCAACAGGAGCTGGAATAGCCTCTATCCCCAAGCCATAAGACTTCTAAACAAGTCTACTAAATAGCTAATCAAATGGCTAACCAGACTACCTGCATTGACACCAACTCCCTTGCACTGACTCCTACTGGACACTACCCACACACTCACACATACTGCCCAGTCACTTTACCCCTACCTATATGTACAGTACCCCTGCACATCGACTCAGTACTGGCACTCCCTGTATATAGCCATTTTACCTTTTAGTCATTTAGCAGACGCTCTTATCCAGAGCGACTTACAGTTAGTGCATACATTTTTCATACTGGCCCCCCGTGGGAATCGAACCCACAACCCTGGCGTTGCAAGCGCCATGCTCTACCAACTGAGCTACAGGAGGGTATGTTATTGTCTACTCCCTATATATAGACATATTATTTTTATTCATTATTCACTGTGTATTTATTCCTCGTGTCACTTTTTATATATATATTTTTTATCTAATCTTTAACTCTGCACTGTTGGAAAAGGACCCGTACGTAAGCATTTCACTGTTAGTCTACACGTTGTCTACGAAGCATGTGACAAATAACATTTGATTTTGATTGTACAGGCACATAGCCTGGTCCTAGATCTGTTAGTGCTGCATAGCCACCGTCTCCTATATGGTCGCAAAGGAGTTGGCTAGTACAAACAGACCTGGGACCAGGCGTCTGGACACACTGTCACCAATGTTCTTACTAGAGATAGCTTTTATGATGTATAGCAGCACATGCTGGTGGTAGGGTAAATCTATTTGACAAGACATGTGATATGTCTTGTCAAAATAGTTGATAAATAAATAGGCTACCATATATTGAGATTTCCATCAAAGTCCCCAGTTGCTATATGTCTTTGTTGTAGAGAGCTGGCCCCGAATGTACCACACTTGATGGGCTTTGCTTTCTCGATCTGTGAAAGATAACAGGACATTGTTATGCTTGTGACCTTGTCCATTACTGAAAATGTGTCTACATTACTGAAATTCATTAGATGGATTGCCTCAAAAAGGGGTACTGTCTTGTCTTTGGGAAACAGGGGTCCAAATAGTTATCGCTAGGGTCCAAACGACTGCAACAGATAACAACATGAACATGCATGGTTGCTATTCGTGTATGTGTGTTTTTGACATTGCACTGTTAACAACAGTCAAGTGACAGTAGAAACCAATCTAGCTACAATCGCTGCTGCAGTTTCACAGACCGACAGGGGTCATTGTGTTACTAGTTGCTATAGTAACAAAGGTATCCGAACGACTTTTCCAGAACAAACTACAATGCTAACACTTACCTAGCTAGCTAAAAGCGTGAGCTAACTAGATAGAAAACAAAGCACAAACAATACAACATTTGCTACCTCTTTTACGAGTTTAACCTCTCCATGTTCCACCTCGTATATTTGCATCACTCCGGTGCCCCTTGCATAGTTTCCCAGACAGACAAACTTTGCACTACAAGGAATCCATTTACTGTCAAACACTGTGTAGTTCAAGCTTTTCTGAACGTGAGCTATAATTTGTGGCTTCTCAAATGGCGTCGACATTTCTTCACTGGAATGACAATAACGATGTCAATGTTATAACGAACTCTAATAATGACTGATATAACGATTTTCTGACACTAATAAAATAACAAGCTAATTTTTTAAAGCTTGGTTCGGTAACTTGTCAACACGATTTTGTACCAACACAAATGATATGGAAGGCCACATAAAGCGCTGTCTGCATTTTCGCCTGATGAAAATATGAAAGACAATTTATTTGTTGAATACTTGTGAATAATGTCGTTTTATTTTCCAAATAATTACATACTATTCCCTAACAGACATGAATATATATAATACCATATTCACATACATGTTTTTTCATCCATCCATAATTATACATTGCACTCAGGCGCGTGTTGAACAGACTTTGGGTCCTTTCCAAAACACGGGAACAACCTCGTGTCTAACTTCATGTACCTCTCCTAACATTTTGGCTTTATTTACTGTTAAAAAACGAAATTCGTTATGGACACTGATAATAATCCAACAACGGAGGTAGTTGCTACTACTATGGACAGTGGAGATACAACAGAAGCGTTCGTAAAGGTGAAATCAAAGAAGGCGTCGAAGCGAAAACGCGAGATGGATGGAGTCGATATGGAGTCTGAGGACTCCGTAGCAAGCAAGCGGCCGCAGTTTCCACCCATTTCAGGCGACAAACTTAAGGTAAAGTAAATCCAAACATTTTATATAAGAGTACATATTTCGTACTGAGCTATTATACTTCGCTTGAACTTTGTATGTTAGGGTAGCACATTTTGCTCGTAACGTCTGGGTCTTGCACATGCGCAATGTCACTCTATTGCTATCATTATGCTGACACTCCCTAAATGGAACCCTTTTACCCCGCACAAATTTTAAGTGTCACTGTCTCACAAGACTACATTTTAGTCAGCCAGTGCGGTTTTCTTCTAGTGGAGAAGGGTATAGGCTACACAACAATGTCAATAAACTGTTGAAGCTACTAATGGGCACAATCTGCACATACCACTGTGAGATGTTGCAGTGACAATTCTAACATTTCCACTGCGTCCTATATTTTTTTTTTTTGGGCTCCTTGTTTCAGGGTGGTTCTGATGAGATGCGTAAGGTGGCTGTCCCGGCCCACAGGTATACTCCTCTGAAGGAGAACTGGCTGAAGATATTCACACCCATCGTCGAGAACCTACAGCTCCAAGTCAGATTCAACCTCAAAACCAGAAACGTGGAAATTAAAGTAAGTGCAATGAGATCACCTGAGTGACGATATAGTCCCTGATAGTCCAGAGTGTCTTGGAAAGCTCATAGATAAGTGTCATTATGCATCTACTTACATGAACTCTTACGATGACATTTCAGTGAATTGGTTAAATGTTTATTATTACATCTTGTGGAATGTTCTTCACGTGCATGATTTGTATTTATTTATTGGTGTCTAGAAAGTAGGCTTTAATAAGAACTTGTCTTTCATTTCAGACGTGTAAAGACACACAGGACATTGGCTCTCTCACGAGAGCTGCAGACTTCGTCCGAGCCTTCGTTCTAGGATTCCAGGTTGAGGTAAGCAGCAGCACCTTCATTCTCTTGTTGGGGTGATGAAATGCGAAGGATCCAGTCATCCAGCAGCACTCTACCATCTCTGCTCTGTGTTGACATAGTGAGAATTACAGGCCATCTCCCTTCTTTCAAGTCAAATATGTTTTTAAAGGGATAGTGAGAGATTTTGGCAATTCTGGGTATGTTTTTTTTCTACGTACCCAGAGTCAGATGAACTCATGGATACCATTTGTGTCACTGCGTGCAGTTTGAAGGCAGTTTCTTGAGCCATTGCTAACTAGCGTTAGCGCAATGACTTGAAGTCTACCCGGAACCGCTAGCATGCAGTACTCTACTTTAAACATGCTAACTAGGCCTAAAGCCTAATGTCTATTGAGAATACAAAACCACTGTTTATCATGTAAAGGGAATCTGACACCTTGTCGCTCTCCCTTGGGATGTCTCTAAAGTTAAGTCTAAATATAGGCTATTAGTTAACCGTAACGTCTTTGACAATACAACTCCCCTGTTTTGTTCTGTTGAATCTAAACAACTCCTTGTCTGTCTCCCCAGGATGCCCTTGCTCTCATCAGATTGGACGAGCTTTTCCTAGAAACCTTTGATGTCACAGACGGTAACTAAGGGCCTGGCTGGCAGCACTGTTATTCTCTACCTTTACAAGCTACACTATTTGTAGTCAGGAATGGAATTGGAAGGATTTTGGGGCACTGGCCAGCCAGGCTAGTAAACCACAATGTGTACTTGCCCGGGTGACATTCTGTGCAATGCGGTATTTGAAAAGACAACATTTCACTAGTCATCGGGCTAGTTAGGCACACTTTCTACTAGCCCGGTCTGAAAAGTACTAGCCTTGGGTTAGCTTAATTTCTATCCCTGTAAGTTCTCTTCACTACTAAGTGCACTCCCTCAGAATCACATGTTTCACTAACTGTCTTGTTGTTTTCTTTCTTTCAATGAATCGGTTTTGGTCTTATCATCTTATCTTTAAAACCTTTTTAATATTTTTATTAATTATTTTTATATTTGGGAACTACAGATGAAAACTAGCCAGCTGGCTAAATATGGCACATTTCAAGAACTGTTATTTGATGTGCGTTGTCACTGTCAAATAAAAAAAGTATGCACGGTCCCTACCAATACTAAGTGCATTTAAGGCACAAACCTTTTCTCTCTGTACTAATGTTTTTCTGTTTGGTTGGCAGTGAAACCACTGAAAGGAGATCATTTGTCCAGAGCTATCGGGAGGATAGCAGGTAAAGGAGGAAAAACAAAATTCACCATTGAAAATGTGACCAAGACCAGGATTGTTCTTGCAGACTCGTGAGTAGCGCTATGGCCCTATGGTATGACGGAATAGTTAGAATTCTAGGTCTACATTCAAAGACTATTATTTATGGTTTACTCATGGCCTTTTTTGTTGGTGTCCTTAATATTTTACAGAAAAGTACACATATTAGGATCTTTCCAGAATATTAAGATGGCACGGACAGCGATATGCAACCTCATCTTAGGTAAGACTGAAAGAGATGTGGAAGTTAGTAGAGTGGTGAGGAGGAGGAGGAGGGGTATACAGTGTCCGGATGCGACAACACCACTTTCTGTATTCAGGTTTCACTCAAACGTCTTTTTAAGCTTTGTTTTACTATTGACAGTTACAGCTGATTTCAGGATTGAATATCGATTCGATCACCTTAAAAATAAGTCGTCTGATTCATTGTTTCAGTCTCTGAATTGTTTCATCGAACTTTTCGCCACCAGCTACTGATATCAGGAGAACAAACTACAATCTGTCTCGTGAATTAGCTTACATGTGCGCCCAGCTGGGCTCCCAAGCGAACTAGGCCCAAGCTCGTTTTCCCTGGCTAAACTAGCTGGCTAGCTAAACTATGATAGTTTTTGTCCTCATTGACAAACTTCATAAATACTGCACCCTCAAATTCAAAACTCCTTTTACTAGTTATACAATTATGTAACTAAGAAATTAGCTGGAAAGAAACTTGAAAATTATTTTATTGTTTTGTTGTACAGTCATGAATGGTTTGAGATGTCTGTCGTAAGACGACAGTGGCGAAGGATCTCATTGCTACTTAACGCGGAACCAAGTTCAGTTTTGAGATCCACCGGCGTCATTGGCGTAGGATTAGCTGGACGTTTCAGTCTGGTCTTGGAACTGACAATGGGCAGGCTCTCCCCGCTTGGCTCCATGGGATATGTAGTGATTTAGCCAACACATCCAGATATGTACACAGTCTTGTACCCTTTAACCTTTTTTGAACTGACTATCGTATTTGTTGAATAAATCAGACTTTTTATTAATATAATGAGTAATCCAGGAATGTCATGAGTTAATTGACAAGATAAAACTTGAGAAAATAGCAACTCTACAGCGCGCCAATGACTACAATGAATGGCTAAATTACTTCCAGACACGAAGGATCGGCCGGAGCTTCTCCTCCACATCACCACTCTATTGGCCATGTGAATTATAGTCATATAATCACGTCTCACCATTGCCCAAGTAACCTACAAGTCCCGTGTATTAAAATGGGGAGTGTTACAGGAAATGCCACATAAAACAAATGGTTGTTAGAGCATGGCGCTTGTAATGCCATGATTGTGGGGTTTGATTCCCGGGTCACCCCATACGAATAATGTATGCACGGACAACTGTGTCTTTGGGTTAAAGCGTCTGCTAAATGGCATATTATATATATTATTATTATTGATATATTATACATGTCTCTTTCCCCGTACAGGAAGTCCCCCTTCTAAGGTGTACGGTAACATCAGGGTCGTGGCCAGCAGGACGGCAGAGAGGTTCTAGGATCATACATGGATTATCTTCTCATCGCCTGATGAAAGTCGGGTATTCACCAAGAGTCTCAGTAGGATCTGATCTTTTTTTAAAACATCATGAATAAGGTCATATGGACGGGTGGACCTGGTCCTAGATCAGCGCTCCTCTTTGAGATGCTTTTTGGAATATGTGCCCTTGCCTGACCTCTTCCGGGACCTTTGTTATTGACGCTGGACATATTGATCTGAGGAGTGCCTACCTGCCTTAGACATCTGGACTGGCCAGTGTCTTCTCACAGGGGATATTTGCATGTAAATGATTTGCCCCTAATTGTCCCTTTTTGGTTTTCAGTTGTTTGATTGAAATAAAATATTAACTAATGATGATTGTTTGGATCTGAACCTAACAAAGTATTTTTGGAGGCCAACGATGAATTCTTACACATATGTCAAAGTGAAAATATGAGTTAATGTAAATAAAAATGGGGAAACCCTAATGTGAAACTGTTGTTAGTTTTCTGTGAGACTATAAAGCGCCAGATAAAATTGGCCCAGAAACCCCACCACACACCAGGGAAACAAAGTGACCACACAAAACACCTACTTAAAATGTTTCAAAGTCTATTTTATTTTTATACAGTATCAAGTTTCCAACAGGCCCATGGCATCAGATGCAGCATGCAGAGAAAAGGGGGGAAATAACTATTTGTCCAACTTAACCATTTCAGTTTCCACACAAACTAAAAAAAGCACTGAGTCTCCTTCAAAGAAAAGAAAGAAAGTAGCAGTCTGAACTATACAGATGGAATAGAAAGCTTCTATACAAAACAAGAAACATCATTTCCCCATTGAAAGCGGAGTACAATGCGTGGCAGTTGACTTGGGACCAGATATGCACCTTACACCTTTTACTGGAATAGAAGCATTTCGCTGATCCGGTGGGGGGGATGGGGGGAATACAAAAAAAGTTAACATGTAGTTCAGTTTGTTTGGATTACTTCTCATAATGTGTACATTTACCAAAGTTTGGCAACATCCATATTGTATCCCAGTGGATTATCAAATAGCATTATTACTGACCTCACCATTCATGTGTTAATGGGGATTATTTAAATGGGTTCATCTACATGACACAATGAAAAGCATCATGCAAGCACAGGGGAGGCGCAAGCAAAGCCACTTGTCCAGTGCTCTATGAAGGGAAACGGGATGCCATCCCAAATGGCTCCCTATATGATGCACTCATTTTGACCAGATCTATGGGCCCTGGTTAAAAGTAGTGCACTATAAAATCGGGAATAGGGTGCCATTTGAGACTCACACAATGACTCCCAACTCAATGTCTCACTTAAAAACGTCAGTTTCCAAACCAGCTATCGAGTCACTAAAAATGCACCCCGACGCCATTTTGTTACAGTTATTTTCATGGGGTGGTTTGGTTAAGCTGGTGTCAATCTCCCTTCTGTGAAATACCACTGGCGAGGGACAAGGGACCCATGAGGTGATCGTGATAGAACGTGGTGAAGATTAAGAACTTAATGTACACACAACTCTCAAATGTACAGTATCCCGTTGATCATGTCAAAAGTTGCGAGTAACTCCGTTGTTGCATTAGAAAGAACCCTGTACTGTAACTGCACTATTCAGGAGGGCTTCGACATCTGAGCTGCTGCAGCCTCTCTTGGCTAAGAAGATGAGCAAACGTTGACCTAATAGACAATAACTACGCTGTTTGCAGTCGTCTCAATAAGATGCCCATAACGTTAAATATTCTCTCAATAACTCACTGACATTCATAATCTTTCTCATCTCGATCTTAGGATATTCCTCACTTCAGTTCAAAATGTAATAAAAATAAAAATACATAGATGCTCCATGTTTAAGAGATTTTTCAACTTGAGTGATTAAGCTATACAAGATCCCTTTATTCATCCAATTTTACACAAGGTGCAACTGAACATTTGACTTTATCCCAACTCTCCAAAAGACACACACACACACACACACACACACACACACACACACACACACAGAGGTTGGTGCAGAGGACTGCCATACTACGGCACCCGTGGAGCAGTTGCTGTGGGGGGGTTAAGGGCCTTGCTCAAGGGTACAACGGCAGGTGATGGCTTCTAGGATTTGATACCAGCAGCAACCCTCCGGTTGCCAGCTCACTTCCCTCCAGAATTTTCCCGTCAGACCCGGGATTCAAACTGGCAACCCTCCGGTTGCCAGCTCACTTCCCTCCAGAATTTTCCCGTCAGACCTGGGATTCAAACTGGCAACCCTCCGGTTGCTGGCTCGCCTCTAACTACTAGGCTACCTGCCGCCCATTTATTACTTTGCATTGTGGGGGATTGTCCTATGGTTCGACGTAAAAAACGTGTCGTTAAAGTAAATTACAAATAAGTGTGCAAAGACATCACTTTCTTGGCATCTATCTCTACGTTTAGAATATTAATCTCCAACAATATAAACATATAAATAACACATCCTATCACTCTTGTTACAAAATTGTATGTTTAATGTGATCGTAAGTTTAACTGATCTAATCCAACCTGATTGGAAGCTTAACTGATCTAATCCAACCTGATTGGAAGTTTAACTGATCTAATCCAACCTGATTGGAAGCTTAACTGATCTAATCCAACCTGATTGGAAGTTTAACTGATCTAATATAACCTGTTCAAGGGTCAAATAGAGTAAAAGAAACTGCTGTTTATTTTTGAAAATGAAATTAGCATCTAACCATTAGTGATCGTGCAGCGAGTGTTTGACGCATCGCAGACCAGTCCATCACTGACAGCGACGGTGGATAGTTCATAATAACAGTATGATATGTCCTGGTTGGCACTTCACACTCTACGTTTTGAATTGTAACTGAAATCAAGTATATTATTTAACGTAACACCTCAGCTAACGACACATTTCCCCGCGAAAGAGACATTATAGATATACTTGTCTATTAAAAAAAAAAAAGAGACCAGAACGAAAATAAATATTAAAAAATTATATTACAACAAAAAAGAATTAACTCAATATAAACAAGCCAAGCTTTCTCCCCCCCTCCCCCCTCCATTGAACTGGGATGCTCTTACAAACGAGAATAGCTGTCCTTCAGGTTATTGAGAGGATCGGAGTTCAATAACACTTCGAAGTTGGCTTCGCGAGGCTCGTGGCTTGTTTAGAAGAAAAAAGGTGGCTTCACGGGGAGAGAGAATACTTCCATTGAAATACATAGAGCGTTTGCCAGACGTCTTGAACAGATCTTCAGAGACCGACGGAGAAGAAAGTGAGGGGAGAGGA